TATGGCAGCCTCCCCGATGGCTCAGTCGGTAAAGAATCTGCTTGCAATACAGGAGACCCAGGTTCCATCCCTGGGTCGGGAAGGGCCCCTGGAGAAGGGAATGGCAACCCACTCCAGTATTCTTGCCTGGGAAATCCCATGGACAGAGGAGCCTGGTGGGCTACAGCCCACAGCGTCACAAAAGAATTGGACCCGACTGAGTGACTAAACCACCGCCAGCACCACCCTGCTCTGAGAGCTCTTCCTGATCTCAGTAGGGACAGGGCCCTGGGTGGGGGGCAGGCTGTGGTCCTGGTCCAGGCTTCCTTTCAGGCGGCCAGGTGGAGCAGTCAGATAGAGGAGACAAGGTGGTCATGAAACAGAGTGATTTAGTACTCTACTTTGCTAGTCCATAGGAGAAAACGTCATCACGTTCTGTCTCCTCACCTTACTCACTGGGGCGCAGACCTGACTAGCACTTCCTTCCTGACTCCTGGAGGCAGCGCTCCCTGGGTCCCAGTGACTCTGTATCATTTGTTTCGTTGATTGGGTTTTCTCTTAAGATTATCCCCAAAAGGTTAGGAGCCACTGCCAGGGCAGTTTAGTCAGGGGTGATACAAATCCAGTTAAAGCCTTTGGTGGAGATTTTAATCCAGTTTTCCTCCTTTCTTCTATTCACTCTTATTTGTAAAAGAATGCAAAATACATTTCATAGCTCTGCTGACTTCTTCCTAATTTTGACCCCAAAAGGTCTTCCCAAGTGGTGCTTTCTTTTCTAAAATTGTTAAATTAATTCATTTTAGTTTTTCTAACAAATAAATGCTTTCCCTCTGACTATTCTAAAGAATCCCTCTGATCCATACTGTTCATTCAATAGTTGTTATTCTTTCTGTTTTCCTTGCTAGACTGTATTGTAAGGACAGAAACTGTTTCTCAGTTACTTACTTACCCCTCTATCTCAAGCACCTGGAATGTAGTGCCTGTCACGTGATAGCTACTCAATAAGTGGTGGATGCAAATCCTTTTACTCTCAAGTTCTCATTGATCATAATTCTGAGACTCTTCTTCTCAGAACCAGTATTTTCAGACTATTTGAAAATAATAGTTATAGATATTTTGGATAAATTTGTTTAATTGGGCATTGTGTTTTAACAGTAACAAACTTATTCTTCAATATCTGACCCAAGTACCATTACTTTTATCAAACTCCCCTTTATTATTCCATCCCATAATGGTAGCTCTTTTCTCCAAATGTGTGACATTTATGTGTGTATAGTTTGTTTGCTCTTTATATCTTATAGCATCCTTTTATGATCTTTGTATTCTTATTTAACTCATGCTTTTAACTCATTTAACACATGCTCCTTGAATTATATATCTTATACTTCCATTGCAACTAGTATAAATTTATAGACGTAGATACATAGATCAAATGCTCAGCAGTACTTGTTTAGTGGATGATTGATTTCAAGCTAATCATCTTAATTTGAACAAAAAATAGATAAGTTTATATTTTTATCTTATATGATGTCACCAATCTTGATTTTTTTTTTTAAGTTTTGGTTTTATGTAGTAGAAGTTTTTTAGAAGAGTAGTTGATTTTTGTGTCCGGAAATCTTTTTCTCCATTTTGGGGAGAGAGTATTGATTGTCTTGAGGGATTTATATAATTCCAATGGAGTATGAATCAATTTCAAAAATACCTTTTCTCATGCATATAGTCAGATACATTACATTTTCTGTTTTCCACCACAAGAGAAAAATTGTCTTATTTTGATATTTTCTTTATTTCCTATGACCTTAGCTTTGTCACTAGATAGCTTTGGGACTATTTATTCTCTACTGTTTGTGTTTACTTAAAAAAAAACAAAAAACAAAAAAACAAAAAACACTTAAGACAGCACTGTGTCCAAAAGGATTAGGGTGAGAGGGTGAGGAAATGCCATTCATTCTTTCTCTTNGAGAGTAGCTGCGTACAGTGAGCACGTGTACCGTGTACATGTGAGCAGAGTAGCAGAGCACGTGCAAAGGGCCTGAGTCCTCAGCCAGTGGATGTGGCTATGTATGGGGTCCAGCAGAAGCGGTCACCTCCCACAGCGATTTTTAAGGAAGGCTTCATGGGGAGCATGGCATTTGAACTTGACCTTAAAAATTTTTTTTAGTTACGAGGAGAAAGTTCTTAATATGAATAATTACTATTTCCAGTATTCACAGAAGAGGGAATGTCTTTAACAGAAGTTTAGCAGTAGTAAAATAGGATCCTATTTCTAGGAAAACAGATATTCGCGGGAAAACAGTCTGGCTGAAACTGACCATTTATGGAGTGATTTAAATGTTAATCTTAGGAGTGCGGAGGTTCTCTGTATAAGGAGAACAATGTAGGTGTTCTGTGTTAGGGTTTAGTTGAACAGCAAGAAACAAGCACCTTCCCCACTAGTTTTAAAACTTATCCAATTAAAAATTGTACATTGTAATCATGGAAACGACAGACTGTGAGCTTTTTATACATGTCTCTAAAGTTAAGCTTTTCACATATAATCTTCCAGCATCTTTCCTGAGTTCAACAATATTTTTAGTACAAAAAATAACTTTCTCTCTCAAATTAACTGGTACTATTTAAGTGTCCAATCCTCAGGGCAGGCCAGATATGGGAACATACTGCCTTTTTGCATTTGTTACAGCTCAGTCTCTAAATATTAGTTGGCTAAAGCATATTTGCAGTGATTCCCCGTTGGTAACTTTTCTAGAAGCTTAGCAGTTCTCCTTTATGTAATCAGTATGAGACGTCATCGCATAAGAGGCATGCCGGTGTCAACCAACTGGCCTTGATACATAGCCCCGAACCAGCGTGTTTACCAAAGTCCATGCTTCTTACACCATCCCATCATGCAGGTTAATATTAATTCTAGCATCTTGTTTGGACACTAAACAAAGATTGTCAGAGAAATTAGGTAACTTTTGACTATTTTGGACAGAAGAATTTGACACTCAATAAGAGATTCTTATAGAAACTTGTCTCAATATATATTTCTTGGAATACCTTTTGAAAGCTTGTTTAAAAATTTGTAAAGTGCCCCTAAAACTCATTGGAAAAGACCCTGATGCTGGGAAAGATTGAGGGCAAGAGAACGGGGTGATAGAGAACCACCTCTAACGAGGTGGTTAGATGGTAACACTGACTCAATGGACGTGAGTTTGAGCAAACTCTGGGAGATAGTAAAGGATAGGGAAGCCCGAAGTGCCACAATTGATGCAGTCGCAAAGTATCAGATACAACTTGGCGACTGAGCAACAACAACAATAAAATTTATTTTGACATTTAATGTTTTATGGTAATCAATAAGTATCTTAAGTGTTAGATATCTAAAACATAGACATAATTGGAGATGATGATGGCATCTAATAAAAAGAAATATATCCATGAATGGACTGTGCTTCCATTTTTCAATCCTTTGTGCCATGAAGGTGGAAGATTACTAGATTACCCAGATAATTTACGGGAGGCAGAGGCTGTGTCTGTTTTTTCTTGTGCATCTCCTCACATCCCCAGTCCCCAGCTGGTACTATTTAAGTCACATGGCATCTAGCATATGGTACTCTCTTTTGCTATTTAGCAACTAAGTACAGACTAAATCTTCACAATGTGTATCAAAGATTGAAAAAAAGTATGTAAAGTCAAATCTATTTTAGAATTTAGTAGTTTTCAATTATTTGGGTGTCATTAATAATAGCAAATCCTAGGAAACTCTATCCCATGAGATGAAAAATATGATAAAATGTCATTTGGTCTTTATATCAAGATACTAATAAAAGACTGTTCTTACTTCATTCACTATGATCTTTTCCTTTTATTGTATACTTTTGCCTCATGAGTTTTAAGAAATAATTTTTCTAAGAAAAGGACTTGTCTTTGCTAAAATAAATCTCATATAAAACATTTGGAAAATTTAAAAAGAGAACAGGTTGATACAACTTTATCACTTAGAAATAATGGCTAGATAATTTGTCATATTATTTTCTATAGATTTTCTTCCCATTGGAAAATTTTTGTTCAGATTTGTTGGCATTTGATTTGCTTGATTCTTTTTGTTTATTGACTTTGTTTACCATGTTTTAAGAATAACGGTTTAAGTACATCAAGAGGATGTGACAAATTTAATTCTTTCTCCTTTTATTTTTTTCTTAAAGCTTTCTTAATGCTATGATTTCTTTTTTTGATGGAAGGGAAAGATTTAAAGGATCTTAGCCTAGAATTTAATGTTAATTATACACTATTTCAACTAAGTACACTTTTCTCACATTAATATGACATTTCACTTGTTTAAGTGACATGTATGCATTTTGTGGTTTTCTCTTGCAAAAAAAAAAATAAAAATTTAATGATGGGAAAAGTGGATTAAGATTTTCTTTAGGGGTTCAAGGAAGATGCTGATATTATAATTTATTTCCCAGCTTACATGTATACGGAAGGATACCGGGCCTTGACAAGGCTGTATTTTTGAGAGCGAAGAACCTATTTATACAGAACATTTATCCAAATAAGAAGTAGAGGAAGTTGAGTTAATACCGCCTTCAGATCTCTTAGCTGTCATGTCAACTACAGAATTATTTTTGTCTCTTTTTAGCACTTTGCCTTGGAATAAAATTACTTATCTAGTAATGAATATCATGAAAGGAAGTGTTAATGTTTTATAAGTAATGATATCAGTCCTTCTTGACAGCTGTTTTTCTTAAACATTATTTATGTCTATAAAATTTTGCTTTCTTTTTTTTTAGTCCTGGCTCTTCTTCTTTTAAGATACAGGCTTTTCTAGGTCAAGGCTTTCTCCTTTGCTTTTTCTATATGAATTTATATGCCCTGCATACAGTAGGTGCTTAATAATCATGCCAGAGGAACAGTAATTATATGCTTAAGGCAGCTAGAAGGAAACATGAGGTTAGTGGATATGAAAATATGTTCGTGGTCTTGGTTTCCTTTACTATTACTTAAAATCCCACTCATTATATTTACTTTATTTATAGAAGTGCTTCCATCGTTTCTTCAGAAAGTTGAAGTTGTCGCCGAAGCTTCTAGAGAAACTTGTGTAGCTTTGAGTGACTGCCTTCATCTCTTCACTAAACAAGAAGGGGTAGGTCTTTGGAATTGAATTTTTACAGTCATTGTTTGCATGTTACATGCTTGATTATCCAGTACATCATTGCTTTCCAATTGTCCAAAGATAGGAGGAAATAGAGTTAGTAAACGAAATGAAAGCTTCATTTTTCACCAGAAGTTAGAACTTTACTTATTCTTGATTAAGTAGGATGATTCTGAAATAACTTCTGTTCATATCATCTAATTTGTTTATCTACCCATGTTTAACAAATATGTTTATAGTTGATCTATTCAAGGTTGTTGTGGCGTTTCGATAAGAAGGGTATGAAAATATTCTAAAAACAAGAGGTCTGTTTGTGAAAAATATGTACTTTTGTTTAGATAGTATATTGCTCTACTTACCTATGTGAACTGAACTTAATGGATTAAATGTTCTTTTGTGTTCCTTGCCATTTATTCTTTCCCATTTAAAAATATTTGTCATCTGATCTTCCAGATATGAGTAAAAGTGGTATGCTATCCATTAGTGACTGTTTTTCTAAGGACTGAAAAGTCGTTAAAGTGCATTTTGGCTGCCTGAACTTGGACTTTACTTCTGTATGCTTCCCGCCCCCTGCCCCGTCACTATTTTCATGATTTTATGCATGCATGTATATATTTTTACATGCCATGCTGCACAGCTTACAGGATCTTAGTTCCCCAACCAGGGATTGAACTTGTGCCCTTAGTGGTGAAACTGCAGAGTCCTAAACACTGGACCACCAGGGAATTCCTCCATTTTCATGATTTTTAATGCAAGCCAAATAGCAATAGGCATTCTTCCATATATGTTCTAAGTATGTGTTTAATCTTCAACTTTTTAGATTGACACCAAATTTCTGTTTTATTTTTTTAGATTCCACATATATATAAAATCAAAGGATATGTTTTTGCTCTGTTCGACTTACTGGACTTAGCACAATACCTTCCAAGGACACGCAGTTTCTTATTCTTGTTACAATTGATTTGTGCCTTTTGTTTAGAGTTGAGGTTTTGGTAAAACAAGATAGATGAAAATGGTTATATATATATGTTTCTCTTATACATAAGGATCTAAAATTCTGTTTTCCCATCTTTAGAATAGAAGCCTTGAGAATTAATAGGAAATTTTAAAAATGCTGTGTTTGTTATCTATACCACAAATTCTGTAACTATTTTATTTGGGCAACAAGAAAATCTATATGGGAAGTCCCTGGTTGTTCAGTGGCTAGACTTGGTGCTTTCACTGCTAAGGGCCTAGCTTCAATCCCTTCTTGGGGAACTAAGATGCCATAAGTCGTGAGGTGCAGTCACCAGGAACAGTAATAATAATCTGAATTCATTTAAACAAACTTACAGAAAATTAATAGGATTCTGTTAAATACCATAGGAAAAAAAGATTTGTTCATTAAGCATGTTAAATGGCTGAGTCATCTCATGTTTGAAATCATCACTTCTCAGCATTTCTATTTTTGGTGGCTTCTGAATTTCATATTCTAGCTTGTTTAAATGAGGAATGATATAGTGACTTCAGTAAATCCACATAGGATGACACCATCTTATCAGAACAAACACAACAAATTTTGATGTTACATGATTCAGGTAGCATTTATTATTACACTGTAAAACTAAATTTGCATCTCCTGTGTGGTACAGGAGAATGTCTTGATGGCTCTTTTGTTCTAGGAGTGTATAGTCTCAAGGCAAACACTAGAAGTAATGTAATTCTTGAAGAAGCTGACATATTCTAAATCTTTAACTGATTAGAAAAAGAAAAAGCTTAGGTAATCACCTCCACGTGGAAATTTACATGTACAAGAATATTAGCTTAAAGTTTAGCCTAATTAACCTCTTTAAGTCTTTAAAATTTGTCATGAGGATGAAATAAGCCTTTAAAATTTGTCGTGAGGATTAAATAAGATAATTGTGAGCAAAATGCTTAGCATGGTTCCTAAGTAAGCCCTGAGTATAAGTCAGCGGTTGTTACTGCAGGATGCTGTCTAATGAACACTTATGACCCCTTTTCTCTGATGCCTGGTGCTTCCGTGTCCTTACCATTGGTTTTGTGTTGTTTTGGATGGAGGTGGTGTGCTATAAAGAATATTTACTTGACCATTTGTGGAATGACTGTGCTGAGTTCACATCCTTATTATTTAAGAGATAATAATACACTTAAGTTCTCTGAACTTTGATCATGTCGTCTTTGAAATAGGAGAGACATGTAGAAAGTCATTAAGAGCCCTAGTCTGAAAGTCTGATGGACCTTTTTTAAATCTCAGTCTTTCTCTAACCAACTGTAGGACCTTGGGTGAGTTTCTAAAGAATGAAAATATATGAACTCCTGAATGTTGGGTATGGCGATCAAATGTGTGTTGATGAATAATATGTAATAGAGTATATCAGCATATCAAAAGGGCACAAGGTATTCGTTTAGTAAATAGCATGTATTGCTTCAAACTTTCAGAATATCTTCAAGTGTTTGTTTTTTCCACCGTAATTCTGTGAAATATCACCCCTGTGGGTCCCTAAGTAGAAATCCATGGATTTCCTTCTGAGAAATATGCTTATAGACTATGTGAAGGCCTAAAAAATGTTTGAAAGATAAATGGTATCACTGAAGTTGGTCTTATCAAGTAGCTAAGGATTACAACATAGGAGTTTAATAGCTTAATTGAGGTCAGAGTGGAATAATTATGCACCATAATGCCTTATTTATCAGGCATCATAAATTACATTTTTATCATCTAGAAATTCTATTCAAAGAGCATTAAGATTTGAACTCATAGACCTGTGTCCAGTTCCTGACTCTGATCTTTAATCCCTGTCTTTGACTCAGTTTTAAAATACAATCTTCTTTTTAAAGTGGTAACCAACCAGAAAAGAGTGTTTTGAGGAGTAAATGAGATCAGATTGGCAAACACGTCTTATAGTACGCAGCACAGAATAGGGACCAGTAAATGTAAGTAATCCCAGCTCCAATGGCAGAAAAAAAATTCCTACTCTCATCTTTTTTGCGGACAGTTACTCTAAATGTTACACATTTAACTTCTTAAACTAAAATGTTCATCCTTTATCTCTCCTGGCTGCCTCAGGATTGTCCTTTTGTATGTTCATAATTACTCTGTTCTTAATACAGAGATACCTTCAGGGGATAATGTTTATAGGACTCTTTTTGATTAAATGGCCCAATCCTGCTACTGCTTTTTGAATTCCTTCTTATACTCTTTTGCTTTAAAATTTTTTTTCTCTCCTGATTTTTAGATCAGCTGGGTGCCTGTCTCTAGCAGTGGAATACTGATTCTTTCTCATTTACTCATACTAATTGCCTGTTTGTTAAAACAAGAAACAGTAGTAACCAAACTTGGCAAAGTTACGGCCACAGTAAGAATAAGATGTTCTTTATGAGGGTTGACAACGAGCACAGACCTCACTCTGGACCTGGACTGTTCTAGCCTGTGATGTTCTTTGCTTACTTGGAGGTGCTCGGACATGGCCTAGATACTCCAAGTATCCATGTGACCGCTCTCTAAATGAGGCATTATGTAGGCATATTTTACATGACATAACACTGCTTAAGTTGTTAAAAAAACAGCAGTATATACAATAAGCTGTAGAGCCTGTGATTGATCTACTAAAGGGAAGCTTTGTTGTTGTTTAGTTGCTAAGTCATCTCTGCCTCTTTTGCAACCCCATGGAATTGCATCCCACCAGGCTCCTCTGACCGCAGGATTTCCCAGGCAAGAATACTGGAGTGGGTTGCCATTTCCTTCTCCTAAAGGGAACCTTACTACATGTTTTTAGAGTGATGTGCTTGGGAAACATAACAATATAATGGCTATGGTTTTTCTTTAACTTTGTGCGCAAATTCCGTTGAAAAGGCTAGAAACTGGTATCGTGAATCATTGTTTCTATAGTTTTTCTCACCAGTGGGTGGTCTCAGTGGTTAAAAGATCATTCAGAAGTCATCACTGGTGACCTTCTGGTTCTTTGTATTATTAAGCTCCCTGCAACATGATTAGTCTGATCAGTTTTTAAGGTAAACTTGCTTATGTTTTATACTTTCCTATTAAATCTTCTGACTGATAAAGAGATATAATCCAAATGTATGGTTGGGACTGTAGTTACACCACTGTAGCTTGTGGTGTAACGGAACGATTCAGACTCTCAATTGGAACCAGCCTAAGGAACTCCTGCTCTGGGCCAGATGCTAAAGTCTTTGGAGAGAATTCATGCCCTCATGTGGATTCCTAACTTTATCAAGGCATGGTTTGTGTTACTCATTTAGCTTTCTGAGCTGTTCATAGGCCTTTAAACCCCCTCTCTTTCATCTGCAGTGTTTACATCTTTCAGGCCTTTACACTTCTCTCATCTCTATTCTCTATTCTAAGCCAAATTCTTTGTTAAATATTAGGTGATCACTGTATTATGCTATCAACTCCCTACCACTCCCTGATTCCAGTTTTTGGTTTTTTTTTTTAATCTATCTTCTTTCCTCTTATTGGTGGCATCTGTCTCCATCTTGCTTCAAAAACAGCTACTCTCTTCTGAATTCTCCCTTATAGCTTCTAGCTCCCTGCATCCCTTTCCAGATCCATTTTTGGAAATGTGATACCGTCTGTTTCTACTTTTTTTTTTATTGCTCAGCTGGTCCACCAAGCCTGTTCTTGCCAGTATCTCCTTGTTGCTAAATCAGAGACACCTTTAAATTATCTTGCTTGTCCTTTGAAGAATCTGCCATTGACTGCTGCTTGCCTTTTGGAATGCTTCTCTGTGATGTCCATGGTGCCTGCCTCTTCTGGCATCTCTTTTCTATATAGCCACTCCTCCCCAGTCATCTTCTAAAGCATCTTTCTTCTGCCTGTGCTTTGCATGTTGGTAGTCCCTAGGTTTCCGGGGTGACCTTCTCACTCAGTATTCTCCATGGATGATTTCACCCACTCCTTCAACCCAGCATTCCATGATGATTCAGATATCTCCACCTTGGATCTCCTGAGCTGTGAACCAGTATATCCAGAT